ATTCACCGAGCCTATGTCACGCCTGCATCGAGCAGGCACGGGACATCGCCCCACTAAGCCAATGGCTGCACCCATTGGCAATAAGGGTCAGTTCTTTTCAGGCTTATGGATGACTGCCAAAATAAGCTTTTAATTACTAGGCTTCTTCTAGAATAAAATTTTAGGTTGGGCTGCCAGAATAAGCTGGGTGGGGGCAGCTTATTTTGGCAGCCACCCATAAGCCCCAAAAGAACTGATCCTAAGTTCCTAATCATCTCTCTATTCAATCATGTTTAGGTGATCTAATGTCTACGCCTAACGATCCTATCACGTAATCGTAAAGAATTATGTCTAACATTAGTATCGGAGTGCCCCCCCCCCCCTGAAATGTGGCCCAAACAACAATGCCCACAATTTCAAACAGTTACTAACGTCTTTCCATTTCTTCTCATCTTTGCATTCATCATTCACATGCATACCAAATCGTTAAGGAATGACATGTATAATTTGTCTCGTCTGACACTGAGGCCAACATTTTTATTACACTTAATTAAAATAAATTGTTTGTTGCCAAACATGCATTCATACATGTCATCATCCAAGCAAGAAACGGAAACTAAATTCCTACTTTACATAGATACATAAAGACCATTATTTAATTGAAGCCTATAGCTGGTGTGAAGCTCCAATGTGAGAGATCTGTAGTTTCAACATCGACTTCAATTCCATTAGCTACCTTAAGTTTTCTTGCCCCGTGAGTTATAATTTGGGTCATAACAAATCCCTACAAGGAGTTAACAAAATGAGCAGTTGCAGCTGAATCAATCTACCGTGACATTCAAGAGAAATCAACTTAAAGTGCTTCATCAACAAAAGTGATTTCATCAATATCTTTTTTGTTGAGCCATTTGAGAAAGTCTGGGCAATCCCTCTTAATATGTCCTGGGTGTTTGCAAAAGATGCAAAGTCTCTCTCTCCATCAACATTCGTAGCATTAACATTAGAGAGGGTTGGAGGAGCAGAACGAGAGCAACTTGAACAGAGAGGCAAACAAAAGGACCATGTTTTTCATGTTAACTCTGCGAAGAGAGAGCATGAAACCATGGCAATCATAAGCTCAACAAAAAACAAGTCCTCAAGAAAGATGAGCCAAAGCCCAGGGATGTAAAGAGCCAAGTTGCTATCGTTCGGCTCCTCCGGCTCCCGCTAATGTTAATGCTACGAATACTGATGGAGAGAGACTTTGCAACTTCTGCAAACACCCAGAACATGTTAAGAGGGATTGCCCGGGCTTCTCAAATGGCTAACAAAAAAGGTATTGATGAAATAACTTTTGATGATGAAACAATTTATGTTGATTTCTCTAGAATGTCATGGTGGATTGATTCAGGTGCAACTGCTCATGTTGCTAACTCCATGTAGGGATTCGTTACGACCGAAATTATAACTCAAGCGGCAAAAAAACTTAAGGTAGCTAATGGAATTGAAGTCGATGTTGAAACTGCAGGATCTCTCACATTGGAGCTTCACATCAGCTACAAGCTT